TTTTTTTGGGGCCAAAAACGCCTTACTATACATGGTCGTTTTTTTTTGGGGCCAAAAACGCCTTACTATACATGGTCGTTTTTTTTTGGGGCCAAAAACGCCTTACTATACATGGTCGTTTTTTTTGGGGCCAAAAACGCCTTACTATACATGGTCGTTTTTTTTGGGGCCAAAAACGCCTTACTATACATGGTCGTTTTTTTTCGGCTAAAAACTGCATGGATTCACATGCATCACAGAACGTGATGGGACTCAGCATCCTATCTGCATGATTTGTCATGTCAAGTTGAGCAACTCTCGTCTCACACCGGCAAAACTGAAGAAACATATCTTCAGTCAGATTTTTATTTTTCAGTAATGAAGGGTTCGGTGAATGTGCATGTGAATTGATTGGGTTCAGTACCTCGAACAAGGGTAAGAACCACCAATCTATATGCTTTCTAAACAAGCCATTTTTATTATTTGTCATTGGTTCGGCTACAACGTTAGCTGCTTTGTAAAGTATCATACAAGCACTGCCATTGACTGAAAATGAAACATAGCACCAAACATGAATCAGATGACAATGAATGTTACTCACTCAGGTTCAATAAATAAATACACAAATGAATGCAGCATGCGTCTTCCTCCCTTGGTAAAACAGGAAGTAAATTAACACAAGTGAAAGCAAAGAGACCACAAGGTCACGTGTCATCATGCTGTCATTTCCATCAAGTCGGACACTGCAGTCAAAAGAAGGGCACCGAATGGAGTCACCCGCCACCACGTTTTTTGGGCGCCCTTAAAGAGTGGTGGGGTTGTCGTCCACACTCAGAATCCAGTCGTTTTTCTCCAGTAACTCCGAAAGCGACAGCTCTCCCGTGTACGGCTCCAACGAAGGTGTGTTTGAAGGGAAGAATCCATCTGAGGTGTTCGGCGAAATGGGAAGCAGGGATGTCACTGGCGTCATCTCCTGACTTGAGTTTAAGGCCCATTTTGTGTCAGTCTGACCCAATACTGAAGGGCTCTCGTATTGGGTGTGAAATGCATGTGGATCGGGCGGTGCCGTTTTCGCATCTTCAACTTGAAAAATTCCGGATGCGATTGAGAGGTCGTCTTGGCGTGTGGTGAAAGAGGGCGAGGGCAAATGGCAGAATTCCGTGTTGGCGTCGCCACCAAACAACGAATGAGGAGCGAGTGACAAAAGGCAGGAAGGGATTAAATCGGACGAGGGGCACAGATGAGGGTTTTTGCCAATCTCCGGGTTGGAGGTGGTAAATACGGAAGGTTCGAGGGCATCCACCTCCACGGAATCTCGGAGGACACAAAAAGGCCGGTGGCGCTGCAGGACGGCGGTGTAGTGCTGAACCTCTTTTTTTAACGCTGCAATCTCCTTTTCCAGGGCCGAGTTAGAAGCCTCCAGCCTCACAAACTCCTGCCGAGGAAAAACAGTTAGTGACTGTTCAATCGTAGGAGTGTGGGGAAAAAAAACTAACAAACTGAATTCCAATCCTTGGAGACACACGCATTCAGTCATAGATGGGTACAGATACTACAGTACTGTTAAATGTGAGGATGGTGACAACAAATGGACAAAAACAATACCTGCACATCCCTCACATGCATATATTTTGGTATTAAATAATAAATAAAGATTTTAATGGTTTACTTTAGTGCACTGTATTCTTACAAATATCATTTGGCATCTTCAGGTGACATTTTGCTGTGAACCTCACTAACATTTGAAAGTGAACTTCGCTTAGCTTATGACTGAGTGCACATGTCTGATTGTTGAATTATCTTGGTCGTCTGCAATTATTGGTCATAAATGGCTTGATCTGTCGCTATGTGCATTTTTGACACTGATGTCAAAACTATATTTACTTTTTTTTTCGAGCACATCAGATTTTTGAAAAAAAAATTTTTTTTTCATTTTTTTTTTCAGTTGAAAATTCTTTGTATCACTGATTAAAAGTGTAGAAATGGGTTGACCCGAGTTGTTGACACGTCGCTAATCTCAAATGAGGCCCTTAGCTTTAAAAAAAAAATTAAAAATTAAAAGGTCAACCATCGATCAAGAAAAAGTGAAAGTCCAATCACCAACACACACATAGTCCTGTCACCATTCTTATGAGTGCTATGCTAAGCTTAACTCAAATCCATTCAATTCACTTCAACTGAGTTTAGCATCTGATTTAGAGATACTTTTGAATAATCTGTTCCACTCATGACCTTTCCTTTTGCATGTAAACGTCTAGTTTGTTTAACTAAATACTAAAAACAACATTTCTTTTTTGTCTGTATTCGTTTCGATGAAATTGCCTCCCACACTGCGTGTACGTGTGTGGGTGTGTGGGTGTCGGAGGGGGAGGGGGTAGTGTGTGGAAGTGTGTACGTGTGTGGGGGTATGTGCGTGCTTGTGTGTGTGTGTGTGTGGTGGAGGGGGCTGTAGAGACAGGAAAGGCGGTGCTACTTGCCAGTGGCAGCCCTTCTCTTCAAGCATACTCTTTACAGGAAATGGCCAATGGCCTGCCAGCCCCACAACCTACCACACCCCCAACACACACACACACACTCACACTCATGCAGGTACAAAAATAAAAAGCTGATCATTTCCAACCTTGTGGAGTTCGTCCGCCTTCTCTGTTTGTTTTTTGCGGCTCTTCCGGGCGGCATTTCGGTTCTTAATTCGTCTCATGGTGCCTCTCCGGTCCCCCGCCGCTTCTCTCTCCTGCCAACATGAATGCAAACGCGGCCGTCTTTGTAAGAAGCGCAGCGATAACTGATATTGAATAGCTTTCAAAGGCCTTTTTCAAAAGCGTCAATGATCCAATTTGATTGGTTGAGGAGTTTCATTTGGACAAAAGCAGTGCTCAGCTGGAACCGACGGTGATAAGTCGGTGACGAGGAACTATGTTGAAGGACACATGCTGCGTTCATTTGTGTATTGAGGAGTTTCACTCAGAGAAATGTAGCGCTTTGACGCCCTCTCTCTCACGATTCTATTCATAGCTTTGCGACAATGAACATGATCTGTTGCATTCTACTGGGTCAGCCGCTTCACTTGGAACCACACGCAACATTCTTGCAACCTTAGGTACAAAGTGTCTAACTGGTGTGGTGAGTCCGATGTGCCATGTTATAGACTGGTGACCGGTCCAAGGTGTTGTCAGAAGGGATGGACAGCCATCTCCATGTGACCCAAAGTCAGAAATGTGGCATTAAAAAAAAAAAAAAACAGGATCATAGCAAGTTGCTCAATACATGTGAATCAGCACTGTTCGGGTACAAAGACAGTACAAAGTCAAAATTATCATCAGAACTTTCAGTACATTATGTACCATTACAACATCAAAGTTATTAAATGCAGCTACAGTGGAAGTATTTTAGACAGAATTGCATGACCTAGAAATTGGATAATGGTGTATAAAAAAAACAAAACTTCATTTGCTAACATTTAAAAAGTGTCACTCCCATTCAGATTTATGAAGCACCATTTGCTCTCTAATTTCTCAATGTGTATGCCATATTTTAAATTTCTTGGGATGGTAAAGATGTCTTTCTTTTAGCTGTATGAATCATCTAAATTACGTACTAAAAATGACATCATGCATTCAATACAATATTAGTTTTAGCTTTTGGTTTCACAAGCTTTCTTTTTTTTGGATAAATTGTGAGGTCTATTTGGCTCAGTTTTTGAGAGAGGGAGAACTTACAGAGCCCGATGTAGTCTCTTCTCTTGTGTCCATGAAGAGGGGGGACATCTCACCGCCAGCGGAGCGCACTGACGTCCTGGTGCAGGCACCATCAGGATAGACCTCAGGACCGCAAAACCAGACTTTCGTTTTTTTTCTTTCACGATCCAAACTTGAACTGCATCCACTTAGGGGTCGCGGGCTGGGTGACGCAGAGCAGACATCTGCTTTCACTTTCTGTTTATTTTAAAGTCCGCAGAGCTTAAGAATTGACCCACATCCCGTCAAGCCCAGCCTTTCCTCAAGGCGTTACTCCGATTTATATCACACGAGGGCGCCAAAAGCCCCTCCCCCCACAAAAGAAAAACGACTGGAACGCGAGGAACAAGTCAAAATCGTGTTACGTAACGTGACTAATTACAAATTCAGTATTTAATTCTGCCAAGGACGTCAACGTATTACATCATTTTGAAATCTCATAAATAATAAGCATTAATATTTTATATTTTTTCACTTGAAACACGACGACACCTTCAGTACGATGAGTAGGATCAAGTTCATGATTACAGAAACAACAGAAATAAAGAAAGCGGTACCCTTGTTAGAAGACAAGGTCCAGCGATAGATATTTCCACGTGACAATTGCTGCCCGCCCCTCGCAACGACTCAAATTTGAATACATCAAACGAATCACAATATTCCCATTACGCCGAACGCAACACACCCGTCAGACACCGCGTCAGCTTTAAACCAATGAACGTGCGCCCAGTACTGGTTTGACCAATAGGATATCGCGTAGAGGCTGCGCTCGTGTACCACTTCCGTGTCCACACGCGAGCTGATTGAAACATAAGACCGAAGAGAAAATCATTTTTTTTCTTTGTTTGCTTGACCTAAATACCTAATCGATCAACAGGACATCTTGGCGATGGGTTTGCTGACAATTCTGAAGAAGATGAAGCAGAAAGAGCGCGAGATGCGACTACTAATACTGTATCCTGTTTCAAGTCGAGTAGAATACGAGTTCAATACAGTAAAATCAACCATTCTGAGCACGTCTTCTCGTGTAAACACACGAGAAGGAAATCGAAGACACGTTTCCGTTTAGTGCTGAATTAGCATTAGCAACGTGGCCATTTGTGTGTGTGTTTTTTTTCCTGATTTGGCTCGTGCAGAGGTCTAGACAACGCGGGGAAGACGACCGTCGTGAAGAGGCTGAATGGCGAGGACATCAGCACCATCCCACCGACGCTGGGTTTCAGGATCATCACGTTGGAACACAGAGAGTAAATATTCTGTAGATGAAAAATTATCGAGATTAAGCTAATTCGCAGTGGTTGACATAATCAAGGCGACTGCGGTCTTGTGTTTTTACGCACCCAACGTGACACCATCACGCCCAATGAACTCAATTGTATTTATGGAACACTTTAAAATAACACCATTAAAGTAAACGTCTGTGTTTATTGTCGTAGCTACAAGTTGAACATTTGGGACGTGGGGGGACAGAAATCTCTACGCTCCTACTGGAGGAACTACTTTGAACGCACGGATGGTCTCGTGTGGGTAGTGGACAGCGCAGACCGACAACGCATGGAGGACTGCAGGCAGGAGCTCCACAAGCTGCTGCTAGAGGAGGTACCACCAATATTGTGTGTGTCCTAAAATAAATTGATTTATTTATTCATTTGTTCTGCCTTTTAGAGGTTACTTGGTGCAACATTGTTGGTGTTTGCAAACAAGCAAGATTTACCTGGTGCTATGTCGGAAGAAGCGATACAAACGGTAAGGCAATTTTTTTCTGCAGCTACTCAGTTTCCCCCCAACGTAGTCTCTCACCACTGTCACACACTTTTCCCATCTTGTTGACTTGCCTGAGCAGGTCACAGGAGTTGGCAAAAAGTTTGAAAGTGATGATAGAATCAAGTGTTGACATTTTTTTTTAAGTAAGCTTCTCTCTTAGGAAGTCCTTAAACTGTATTTTTTTTTGAATGACCCTCATGTATATAGCTCTATATATTAATCTATAAATCTAGACCTACAGTATAGCTGTCGGTCTATTTATGCACATGATTTTTTTATTTTGCAGACATTAGCCCTGGATGACATCAAAAACCACCACTGGTGCATTATGGGATGCAGTGCAGTGACAGGCCAGAATCTTCTGGCAGGGATGGACTGGTTGTTGGATGATATTGCCGCACGGCTCTTCAATGCAGACTGACGTGATGTTCACTTTGACAGAGGACATTGACGTTGCCTTATGTTTTGTCATGACACAAACATCTGTGCATTCTTAGGTAGCAAAAATGCGGCCCCGTCAACTAAAGCTGACGAGTGCACAAGTGTTCGGCTCACAACCCATCATGACTCGCTGGTTTTGGTTATATCACATTCACAAGCTGTCATTTTCAGTTGACAAATGGGCAAAATGGCCACCTCCTGCAATTGATAAAAATGCAATCTTTTTGATGATTAATTCATTATCCCTCAAGTATTATCAAAATACTGTGTTTATGCCAACTGGGGACACACAGCACATATTTCGGACTTTTACTAAAGGTTGTGAACTACCAAAAAAAAAAAAAAAAAAGGCGCAAGACAGATTTTATTATGCTTTATTTCAAAGATGGGTCAAGAAAATAATTCACTTTCAGCGTGCAGGGGCATTTTCAAAGATGCCTGTCCAGTCTGGAAATGGAAATAACCAAAATAAAAATTCAGTCAGTGCCCAAGAGAGACAACACGCTTTACAATGTTTGCTTCAAGATCAGAGTCAACCAATCAGTCATGAAAGTTCAGACTGGGGCGGTATCATGAGCTCATCATTTCTGTTGGCAAACGAAAATATGCGCAACATACCAACATGGCTGCCGCGGACAGCGCAAACAGCATCCTGGTAGCTGAAACAGACGCGCCAACCTGTGAGCAGAAAAAAAATGAATAAATTTCAATTTTATCACCATTTATAGGAGTTAATGTTAATTCATGTGGCTCAGGAGTTGTACCAATCAGTCATGAATCTTCAGACTGGGGCGGTAACAGGAAGTCATCACTAGCACACAAACACCTCAAACTAAAAAAAATCTGCAACTCACCTCCGCGAAATGGCCACCGCCCCCCGCCTGAAAAGTTAAAAAGGAAATGTTAGCTAGCTTCTTTTACACGTGGCTAGCATGCTACAGCAAAATTCTTTTTCAGACTGTTGGAAACCCCAACAAGGTGTCCCCTTGTTGCCATGGCAACACCAGTGGGTTCACCTTTGCAGGTCTGGCATCGACGCATGGCGTAAGACGCGTGCGGGTGTCATCATCAAAGAAATGCATGGAACACATATTGCCTTGTGCGTGATTTTACTGCTCACCTGGCAGATGGGGTCCAAATGCGGTTACATCTGGTTGAGGGGAGGAAAAAGTCATGTTTTAGGAAAAAACTTCCATTCGCTCCAACTATTCAAGCGTGGCTGGTGTCAGATTTGTGATTCTCATCAGTATTCAGACGAACGAGATTCCAGTGTTGTCTCATCATTTTCAGCTGCAGAGCGCCGGTGGGCCTTTTTTTTTTTTCACACCCACTCACCTCGAGCCTGTTGAAGCACAGAGACTTTAGTTTCTGTTCAATTTCTCTACAATTAAATATTGGGAAAAAAAAAAGGGCAGGTGCTCAGATGTTCGTGTCGTTTCACAGTAAGTCAAAGTGAGCTAAGTGTCATCATCATTGCACCCATGGAGACAAATTCAAGTGCTTACGTTTGACGATGTGCCATCGGCGTCGTGCCTCAGCCACCTTGTAGCTACCACAAAAAAAAAAAAAGGAAAAAAAGTCAAATTTCAAGTGTAAAAATTATTACATTGAGGATGTCATTTTGGTGTCCAAACGAATCAGAACCCAAGTTGACATCAATGGTTTCAGCCATATGCTTGTCATTTGAAATCATCATTTCAACCCAGAAGATTTACGGAATTTTGTTTATGCCCCCACCTTGTGATGAGTTAGCCAACAGCTGACCCAGCAAGTCCAGAGGGTTGTTTTCCCCATCTACAAACAGGAAAGAATATTAAAACCTAACATGAAACATTGAAGTAGCCAATGGGTGCTGCTCAGAATAACGCTTATAAGGGTTCTCTTCAAAGACTAGTTCAGTCAGAGAGAGTTCTAGAAATTCATCACAGCAGCCATGATCATTTTTTGGAAAAGAAACTAAAAATACCTAACGATCAGTAGACCATCCAGGAGGGAAAACAAGTATCAGAAGACCATCCTAAAGCGGAGAGAAAAAAATAGGTCACTCACATTAACGCCTGGTTGTAGTTGGTACATTCTTATTTTTACTGCTCCATGCAACTCAGATTTAGATACATTTTCATCGCTGTTGAGTCAGTGAGAGAGTTCAAAGTTCACATCCCTGCAGCATGACATAATGCAAATGCAAAATATAAGTTCAAAAGGGGACCATACCAGTGGGTTTTTGAACAAGCTCCATCTGAAAAGAAAAAAGGGCACATTAGTCAGTGAGCAACAATTCAGTGATGGGCCTTCCTTTTTCATTATGTTAGTTATATAATAATAGTCAATAAAAGGTTAAAAGGGCAATACCTGAGGTTAATAACGTAGCTTCGCGAACAGGCTGCATCTGCAAGACACACAAGAAGCACGAGGTGCTAGCTTTAGCATTAGCCATAGCCACGTGACTACACGTGGGTAGAAGACGCCGAATCCGCATTTCTTTCCAAAAAATGTCTCACTTCAGAATAGAAAAAGTACATTCACAGTCATTCAGAACAGGTCTGTGAAAAGTATCATCATCGAGAGACGATGGAAAGGAAGCCAAAGGGAGGTCAAAAAGTGAAACGCGGGGGGGGGGGGATAAAAGCTTTATAATTTAAATAACTAACGTTTCCATATTTAAATGGTGACGAGAATGCACACTTGTAGGTCGAAATTGTGACTAAAACGCAGGGCAAGAAATGTTCGCGATGAACCCGCACTATATCCACCGAAATCCAGCCAACACGAAGCCCACTTTGAGCAAATAAAGCCATCAACAACGTTTGAACAAATGTATATCGAAAGAAAACAATTCTAAACGGATTCAAAGATAATTCGGGGGTGGGGGGGATAAAAATATGATGAGAATTTCAGACATTACCTCAAGGTAGAGAAGGCAGGAAAGTGGACGAAAAAATGGCTTCCTCCATTTTATATACTCGTCCCATGACTCCGCCTATTCCTTGAACTTTTGCAGAGAAACGGCTTACCGTAGCGCTTTTTTCATTTTATTTTTTGCGAGAGCAACCACCCAAGTATATTTGACATATATTAGTACATACAAGTGTAACGATTATGTCATCATGTTAAGTGAATTAACAGGAGAGGATTCCTTTTTCTGTCTTGAAACTTGGATTTCTTTTGTGGCGTTTGGACGTACCCTGTTAGTCAAGCTACTGCCACCTACCGAATAGGAGGATACATCACAGCGGCATTCGAGGAATGAATGAAAACTCGTGTCATGTAAAAGTGCAGTGGTCATGCAATAATTAAAAAAAGAAGTATACACACATTTTAATCTCCTTCAAACGATAACCATCTTTATTCCAAGTCTTTTTGGAAGACTTCAGGGACAAACGGGATTTTCTTGTTTTCCTTTCTGGGTCATTGCAGAATTTGAGGACATTTTACGTCCCACCCATCAAATTTTAAATAATTTACATACAAATTACTAAAACATGCATTCCAGCAAAGTGCAGGTTTATTCTTCAACAGTTTTGAAGCCAAAATGCCCTCCAATTTTCGGATGACCCTAACGTAATATCATAACACTGTACCAAAATTGTGATCGTAAATAACATGACATGTTCATTGTAATTTTTCATTTTCTGGTTTGACGTCGGAAGTCACAATTTATTGTGCATTTTCAAGTGTTAAAACCAACTGAACACTGCATAAATATATCACAATACAAAAATTAATAAACCAGATTTAAATCCACACATTGGCTTTCTTTCTTTTCTCCGTTTGGCCCCTCAAGGTGAAAGAACCTTCACCAAAACACCAAGAGGAAGACTGCATGACTAACAACAGAGTTTTTTTGTTTGACATTATTTATACTCAATATGCCACAAAATAATTGAATACTTTGGGCACATTTGTGCACATCTGCACTCAGCCAGCGGATGATTACCTTCAGCTTCGTGACTTTCCAAATAAAAGACAAAATGGGTCCACTGATCAGTCATTGCTTATTTGACAGTTACACATCGACACTTTTGTGTTTTCATCGTGTTAAACCTGAGAAAAGCTCCAAATAGTGAACCGGGCGTGATAAATGATGACCTGGAATAAATAAATAGAATCGTGGTGCAATGGCAAATGTTGCATCATCAAGGAGCCCCATTTGGGTGTTCATTATTGCTGAGCTTCTACTGAAACTCGGCCAGCACCACATTATGCTGATGCTTATTTTGGGACGAATGGACGGGCGTGAGGGTGACGCTGAAGATGTTGGCCACAAACGCTTCCCAACCTCGACGAAAAGCTCGGTCCACAGCCTAAGGAGGAAAAAGAGGAAGTCTTGACATTTGTTGTGGACAGGTGAAGGTTCTTCATGATTTGGCCGTCACGAAACATGACGTCAAGATAAGACTCGGCTGTACGTGGCCGATGGACCTCCACCCCGCTCCATATGGCAGCGCGTGGATTCAGAGTCCAGCCTTGTAAACTTTCCTCCACAAAATGGCTTACGTAACCTTTCAGGGCTTAACGTTTAACCGAGGGGGCATTCATGCAAGGATGGAATGTATTCATCACCTCCACCAAGGAGAGTGTTTATTTGTGGGGAACCTTCTGCTGACAAATTTGATAGACATGAACTTCTTATCAATCTGATGATTAAAAACATGACAATCAAATTGATTTTATTATTTATCAAATGAATTGAACAAACAAAAAAGGAACATTTCTTCCATGTTGTCATTTATTGACATTCATACTGACACTTTAAAATGGTGGCCTGATTAATTGCAAGTTCTTACATGTTCAAGTCTTGTCGGATGTTCGTGTCTCACCTTGCGATATGTTTTCATGGTATCCCGCTTCATCACTTTCATGACCTCCTCTTGCTCCCGCTTCATTCTCTTCTTGTCTTGGATCAGCACTTGGTCGTCAGCATCGTGCCGGGAAGCAAAGTGCGTGTGCGGGTTACCCTGGTCGGGAGCCCCCTGCGCTTCGGCTACGCGGGGGCTCGCCGAGCCCAGCGCTGACGCCTCCTGAGAAGCGACCTGCTTCTGCTTCCTCCTGGAGCTTCTTCTCTTCCACCTGCCGCTGGGGGCCGCCCGCAGGAGCGTCTTGCCGTCGTCCACGTCGCTTCCTCCGTCCGCCGCCAAAATGTCCTTCAGGGGTGCGCTTTCCAGCTCATCCAGGCGGTCGTAGAAGCCGCCGGATTTGTCCAGGAACTTGGGGGCTCGGATGGAAGCCCTCACAGAACTTTTCCTGGAGTCCTTGCCGATAGTCATCCTCCCAGCTGTGATCTCCGTGTGATTCTCTTGTGTTATGACTCGGGGGTTGGGGAGAAGGGGTGGGAAGTGGA